TCTGCTGCTGCACAGACCTGGAGGCTTAGGTACCGAGAAATCCTAGCTGAGTTATCAGAGACACTGATTTGCTTGTGATAAGTGGTTCTTGCTGGTCTCAGCCTTCCAGCATGGGCAGCCTTCCAGCCAAGTCTGACTTCTGTGGTCACTGGCTGGAATTTCCATTATCTCTCAGTAACAGCTTTTCAAGAACAAAGTAAATCGGATATTCCCTTCTTCATAATACACTGTGATATCCCGTGTATTACCCAAAACTCCTTAGACCCAAAGGGTTAGGCTCTAGTTTGCTTTGAGGACAGTTGTATTGTGTATAAGGTACGTGGGCCAGGTTCTGCCGGCCAAAGTTTGCAGTACTTTCTCATTCAAGCTGGTGGCATTTTGGTTCTTGGAGAGTAGAAAATTTTTCCTTGCTTCTTATATGAAGCATCTCCCTGTCCTGTGGTCTCCAGCGCAGGTTTGAACTCACTCTGAGCCCACATAATGTCTTACTGTTCAGTCATTTGAACAGTTTTGGTCCAAATTTGTGGCAGTATTGCTTAGTTTCCATTTCCAAGATCACAAACTTTATTGAACAAAATGTATAAAGTTGATATTTTATACATGTTTAAAAATTATTGTTATTGGTAAATTTTAGATATACATAATGATCACATTTATCATAGAGAATCTGTACCTCTACATAATATATCTTGATTCTTTCTTCTCCAGTTGCCTCCCTTCCCTTCAACCCATTTCCCTTCTTATTTACCAAAGCTAGTCTCCATATTTGCCTTGTATATTTTTTCTTTTCCCTTCCTTTCTTTCTTCCTTCTCCTCCCTTGTTCTTCTTTCCATTTCAACATTTTCTTCCTACTTCCCAATATCTATTACATATTTTGGTTCGGTTTCTCACACCAGAGAAACAATGTGAATTTTTTTTTTTTGATCCCAAGGATTGAACTCAGGACTTAGCGCTTGCAATGCAAGTGTGGTGCCACTGAACTATACCCTGGCAACAATGTGAAATTTAAACACATGTGTCCTCTTTATTTCACTTATGAGTATGGTCTCAAGATAACTAAAAATGTGGGAAGTTTATCCTTCTTTGTTTTTTTGTTTGCTTGTTTTGGTCCCGGAAATTGAACTCGGGTCCTTGTGCTTGCAAGGCAGGACATCGAACCGCTGAGCTAAATCCCCGGCAGAAGTTCGTCCTTCTTATGGCTGAAATGTACTCAGTTGTATAAAAAAATCTTTATCCATTCATCTTTTGATGGGCATTTGGGCTGTTTCCAAATTTAGCTGTTACAAACTCTGCTCCTGTAAATATGTGTGTGCATATATCATTGTGATGTGATGTTTGTAATTCTTTTTGGGAAGATACCTAAAAAGGAGATAGCTGGGTCAAATGGGATCTCTAATCCTAGATTTTAAGAAATCCCACATTGGTTGCACAAGTCTAAACTGCCACCAACAGTAGAGAAAGGTTCCTTTTTCCCCACTATTTGTTGTTTGTTGATTTCTTGATGCTAGCCTTTACTTTGGAGTGAGATGGAATCTCAGTATTGTTTTAATTTGCATCTCTCCAATCACAAGTGATGTTGAACAATTTTTCATGTATTTACATGCTGTTTCTAATTCTTCATCTGAGAAGTGTTTGTTTATTTCAGATGCCCATTTTTTGGATTGGGTCTTTACATTTGGGAGTCTCATTTTTCTGAGTTCTTATATATTCTAGATATTAATTCTTTGCCAGAAGAACAGCTGGCAAAATTTTTTCCCACTCTGTGCATTGTCTCTTCACTCTGCTGGTGGTTTCTTTTGCTGTGCTAAAGCTTTTTAATAAGATGAGATTCCAGTTGTTAATTCTTAGTGATATTTCTTATGCAATTGGGGTTTTGTTCATAAAGTCTGCCCACACCGGTACCTTTGAGAGTTTTACCTATTCTATCTTCCAGCAGATTTACTATTTCTGTTTTACTTTTTAGATCTCTGATCCATTTTTATTTGAGTTTAGTGCATGGTGAAAGATATGGGTCAAGTTTTAATCTTTGCCATGTGGAAAGCCAGTTTTTCCTGTACCATTTATTAAAGAGCTGTCTTTCTTCCAGTGAAGGAGTTTGGCCCCTTTGTCAAAGATAAGGTGGCTGAGTATGTTGGGAGTTGTTTGTGCATCTTCTAATCTGTTCTGTTGATCCTCAGGTCTGTTTTTTTTTTCTGGTACCATGCTGTTTTTATCACAGTAGCTTTGTAGTATAATTCCAAATCAGAGATGTGATGTCCCCTGCTTTGCTATTGCTGTCCAGAATTGCTTTTGCTATTCTAGGTCTCTTCTGTTCAAAATGAATTTTAGGATTGCTTTCTCTAATTTTATGAGGTATGCTATTGGTATTTTGATTTTTTTCTAGGGTCTCATTCATCTGTGTTGTTATTTCTGTGTTGCTATTTCAGAGAGTTCAAGTGGGTGGTTTTATAATTGTTCTACCTCACTGCCCCCTGGGTTTGTCTTGGGCAAGCTAGAAGTCTGGGGTCACATCTTGCTTCTGTGTCCTCTTACCTTGTATATATTTTTAAATTTTAGTTTCTGCATTGATGCTTATAAATTGCTTACGGTAGGTAGCTTTATTGCTAGTTACAAAGGACCTCGGCAGAAGATGCCAATCTCCTGCTCAGTGCTGTGACACAAGGTGAGAAGAAATACTCATAGAGACAGAATCCGAGTGAAACAGGGATCTGGATGGTCAGTGCTGAGCAAGCAAAGACACCCCCCACCCCGCAATCAGCCAGAACCACTGGTATTGATTGGTGACACAATCATTATTAGGTTGAGTGGAGGGGACTAGTGTGGTTGCTCCAGAGAAGTTGCTGATGCAGGTAAGGCTTGCCTTGCAAAAAGGTAAGAAGGGACAAAGCATTCTTGTGTTAGGAACCAGACAGGCCAGATATAGGTTGTGGTTAATGATTAACCTGTCTTTACAGTGAAGAAGGTTTCATTTCTGGGAACAGAATTTGGGTAAAAGTCACTCTGACCTTGGCTGTCCCGTGTTATGTCATATCAGAGCCCCACAGCTTCATGGGCTGTTTCTATGGTCTGTGCTACGGCCCTTGGCACAGGGATCATTTGTAATCTGTGTACCACTGCCGTGTCCCTACGAGTCACATAGGCTTGGGTCAGATTCGCTTTTTCAAACAAGCCAACTGGGTGGTTAACTCTTTATAGCTTACACTGCTTACAGTCTGTTTTGAGCATAATCAGTAGGGCAGTCTGCCATAACTAGTACTGAGAACTCATTAAGAAATGATTACTTTTCAGAGATGTCTTCTAGGTGCAGCTGGCTTTTGACTGTTGAGTCTGTTGCAAGATCCTACCTCTTCAGTTTATTAGGGAGGAGAAGTTGTTGCTCATTTGGCCTAGCCCCTGGTTCTTTGGTACTGGGCTATAGTATTGTTTGTGATCCTCAGGCAATCTTGGTCTTGGCATATAGGGAAGAAAACTGATTAAAACCACTCTATCAGCTTGGCCAAAGTAGTACAATCGTTAAATAACAATAGCAGCAAGAACAGCCTAAAAAATGACAAACTGTGGTTAACTATTAATTTACTACCTCTAACCATACGAATAAGATTTATTCTCATCTGATGAAATCTAAAGCTAACCAAAATCAAAAAATGGGCATCTGAGATGAATACATCTGAAATGAACAGACACTTCTCAGATGAAGAAGTACAAAGGGCAAATAAATACATTAAAAAAATTCAACATCACTGGTTATTTGAGAGATGCAAATTCAAACACTGAGATTCCATCTCACTCCAGATAGAGTGGCTATTATCAAGACATCAACAAACAACAAATGCTGGTGGGCTATAGGGAAAAATGAACAACCTTTTTCACTGTTGATGGGAGTGTGGACTTGTGCAAACACTGGAAATCAATGTGGAGATTCCTAAAAAAACTAGGATTAGAATTTTGACCCAGCTATTCCCCTTTTGGGTATCTTCCCAAAACAATTAAAAGC